GTTGCGAATAGTCGGCGATACCTTGGCAACAAGTCGACGCACGCAGCGACATGTCGGCGGCGACTCGGCGACTGTTTGGCGATCATGTTCGTTTATTATAAATTCGGCGAACGGCCACGAAATTTTCATTTTTCATGAAATATTCGTGGCGGTCGTGACGAACCGTAAAAGTCGCGCGGTGGACACCGACTGGTCTGCGAAATGCCAAGACCGTGGAAGAAAGATCCCGAATCGGTCCGCGACATAGGATGACTTGCATATTCGTGCACACTCGTGTACCAAATTCGGCAGTGTAAAGGCCGTGTAACGGGGACAAACACAGAAGGGCTCAGTCAGAGCTTTTGGTTTGCGAGGTGTTCGAGAAGCTCAGTATGTTGTGGGAACTTAACGCTGTTCAGTGTGATTCCGTTGGCTGTTGCGCTGTGGTCCTATGTAGTCTGTAGAAGCATCGTTTATCTCCTCTCGAAAGTAACACTTCTTGTATAATTTTGCTAGCTCGCGAAGTTTAGTCCCAAAGTTAAGGAATGTTCATTGTAATTGCATCAATCAATGCAGGACCGAAAACAAATGCGCTGTTCGTCTATTTCTTGTTGGGATTCTTAATCGACTGATCTCATTTTCTATTACCGGAAACAACTGTTAATACGTTTAACTACGTGGCAACCCTGACTGCGTATAGTATCGCAGGTACGTACGCTGATGTGGCCTTTGGTCGTACTCGTGGGCATTTACACATGAACCTGCTGCTGCCACCCTTATCGGTCTCCGGATACAGAAGCCCTTGAGAACCGGCGCGGGCGGACCTTTCGGACGAGGTCTTGCCGAGGTGATGCGGGAGGTAGAGGACGGACCGTCCATAGCGCCGGTGAGCTATTCTCTAACTATCTCCCGGAGTCAGGGTGGCTGCAATTTTTTTTTGCGCTGCCCTGGCTTGGCCGGACTGACTAAAATGTAAAAAATAAAAAAATAGTAATTCCCGAAATCCGAGGAGAAAAATAGGGGTAGCTCGTTTTTTTTTGTTCCTAAGACTGGACATTTGAAATTCTCGCCGACTTGCCTGGCGGCGCAATGTTTGCCCCCCCCTAAACTCAAATCCTAGATCCGCCACTGTCAGGGAATATGTACATTTTTAGTTCTTGATATTCTGTCTTGTTTTTTTTCACTTCTTTCAAGCATTTACAATTGTTAAAGAAGCTTAAATATGGAAATTAAACGGCATATGCTAAAATAAATATCACACTTGGGGGGCCCAAGCTTGGGCCGGAATTGGGCCGGAATGTTTCATTCAGGACCTCGGGCTTTGTTGAATTTTCCGCCCTCGACCTTCGGTCTCGTGCGGAAAACTCAACAAATCCCTCGGTCCTGAATGAAACATTTTACCGGCCCCGTGTGATATTATATATGACCAGAGGAGTCCAGCAGTGGGAACTGGGAAGTCCATACCAACCTCTATTTTGAGAAGTGCAGGCCCGCGACATTTCCAACCCCCACTTCAGCGACGCTGCTGGATTTAAAATGATCGATCTGGAGCGTCAACAAACGACTGGCCCTATGCCGGCCTGTATCTGTAAAACTAATAGAGGTCGCGAGGATTCGATCCCACACACTTAGGCGTTAGTGTCTTCTGAAACCAACGCTCTCGTCCTACGCCAAGCAACCTGATGATTCTCCCGATGTGGAGCTTGATATTTTTAACTGGGACCATGCACGTAGGTACTCAAAAGTCAAAGCTGTTGCCACAAAACAAAATTAATCGTGTTTTGTTAAAGGGACTCTCCCACCTTAACATTAGTTTTGAGTTGAGATAGCCAAGTTTGCGGCCAGGCTCAGAAACCACCATTTATCCTGGTCGCAACCCCCGCAGCTTTATGGTGTTCAAGAAATTTCTTCCCTTTACTTGCAGGGTGGGACCAGCGTGGTCCCTATCTCTTAACCATTACGGGAGTCTGATGACGTCATCAGGCTTTCGAACGTCTGTTAAATGTTTGACTAAAACGTTTTGTAGCACGCGGTGGTATATGCTGCTTTGCGCGCAACAAATGCCGCACTTTCAAATAAAGTCGCTAGGAACAGCGGAGATCCCAAAAGTAAGCAAAAGTAAAAGTCTAATATCTTGAAAACCGGTGAATATTTTTCGATGAAATTTGGTAGATATTCGTTTTTGCTCTTTCTGAACCGAGCGACATCACTTTCATGCCAATTCATTAACTTTTTTGAAGGTGGGAGGGTCCCTTTAATTATTGCTTTAACCCGCGCGGGGCTGGGGTCTCCAGCCGAACGCGCGGCGGGGGGGGGGGGTAAATTTTACCCCCCCCCCTGTTATCTCCCGAACTTATGATCCGATTTGGAAAATTCAAACGCCAATCGAAAGATCTCATCACGAACAACTAAAAACATGTACTTAATTTAAAGTTTGAGGTCAAGGTCAAGGTCAGGTCAAGGGTACAAATTGCAAGTGTCTACAGTATCGGCCTTGCACCGTAGTTGCCGAAGAATGGTGTCATGGACTGAGACTGATTGCCCAAAACGTGTTCTTAGGCTACCGAAACAATATTCGTTGCATACAATATCATTCAGAGGTCAAGGTCAAGGTCAGGTCAGGTCAGGTCAGGTCACCAAAAACAAAATATAGAAAAGGGCATGTGCGACACATGTTTTAATGGGTCATTTTACTCATAGAATTCAATAGGCACACTCAATAAGTGATATAGACCACCTCTGGATGAATTTCAGGTCGAGGTCAGGTCAAGGTCAGGTCAAGTGAGGTCAAATTTTGAAGGTGGTTGTTAAGGCCTAAAAAGGTGTCTATCTGATGCAGTTTTTCACGGCGAATCGAATGGTGCTATTTTTGTTTCCGTACGAGGTCTAGAACTTCCAAAAAATCATTTTTCAAAATTTTGTGTGTCGTGACGTCATAAAAGTTTGAATAACTCCCACATTTTTGAACCGATTCTTCTAAAAATTGGTATGTAGGTGCACATATACCACTTCTCTGACATATATTCCGGTTTTTTCGATACACTCAAAATGTTGGATTTTATAATTATTTTCCCAAAAAAGTCAGTTTCTTGAAAAAATTGGGGCCAAAATCCAAAATTTTCAAAAAAAAACCGAGATAGCCATTTGAAAGACAAAGTAGAATTACGTATAACCTTTTTTGTTACGTCTTGATTCCTTTAAAAATGAAGATGTTAGCGGCGTTTGAACTTTCAACAGTCACCCCTCGGTCGCCGAGCCGGACGGTTCGCTCCGCGCGGGTCCGGTACCTGTCAGCCGTCAGTGAGGCCAGCCTATGGCCGAGTGACCGGCTCCGTTACCGCCGGGCGGCGGCGGCCCTTTGTTCGAGAACAGTGCAGTGAAAAGTGCAGTTTGTGAAAAAGAGTCATGCGATGGTGCCATGGTACACCCATGCTGCTTGGCTCGTGAGCTGAGTGATAAACACTTGCGACGGTCCGTTGATCTGTGTCGCTATGCTCTCAGACAGTGACGAATTCAACACTGATTGTGCCGCGTCAGACGTTGAGTGCATCGAGAGACGAAACGACAAACCCTCAATCAGACAAGCTTCTGTGCCTGAAATGATGAAGCGAGTCGCAGCTAACAAGCGCCGTGCACCCAGTCGCGGCTCCCAGTCGCCGCGGGACTCGACCTCGCCCGGGGCTAAGCGGCCGGCCGCGGAGGGTGTGGAGCTCAGCGAGAGGGCACTGGCTACAATCCAGACTATGATTGACGGTGCGGTCGCTAAAGTCGCTTCTTTGTACGAGCCGCAAATACAACAATTGCAGATGCGACTGGAACAAGTAGAGGGAGAACTGATGGATCGCGACGTCGAGATCCGTCGCCTCAGGGAGCAGCTAGAAGCCCGCGACAGCGCCTTCGAACATCTAACCCAGCGGGTTGAAAGCATGGACGTTAATCGACGACTGTCGTCCCTGATCCTTACGTGCGATGATTTTCGGCGCCGCGACGACCATGAGGACATCGAAGAACTTGTGGTCGAAGTTATCAGAAAACGGCTGCCGAGCATCAAACTGGTCACGGCGGATATTCAAGTCGCACATCGACTGTCGGCGAAAAATAAAGTGATTGTCAAGTTCCTGAAACGTCGCTTGCGAGATGACATTTATGAGAGCCGCTTTTCGCTGTTCGGCCGCGGGGGCTCGGCGCCTGGTGCACGCCGTGACAGTCTGGCCCCCCTCTACATTACGGAGAGCCTCACGCCGACCAGAACCGCTCTGTACCAGGAGCTCCTTCGCGCCAGGCGGCCGGAGAACGGCCAGCTGGTCGCCTCAGTTTTCAGCCGCCGCGGAGTTGTCTGGTGCCGCAGGGAGAGGGGCGGCGGTAACATCAGCGTCCCCGACGAGCAGCACCTGCGGCGCATCCTCGGAGGGGCTCGATTCCCGCCCCCTCCGCCCCCCGATTCGGCCTCGGCGGGTCGCGTGCCGGCCGGTCGCTCCGGCGGGCCGCGCGCTGGTGCCGGTGGCGGGGGCGCCGTGACCTCGTTGGAGCCGGCGCCGCGCGGGGGCGGGGGGCATGCCGTGCGTGCGCCGGCGGCGGCTTCGGCTGCTGCGTCTGCTCCGGCCGCTTCGACTGCCTCATCTGTTCCGGAGGCCGCGGTCGCTCCGGCGGCGCCGTCTGTTCCGGCTGCCGCGGTCGCTCCGGTTGCTGCCCCGTCCCCGCCCGCGTCTGGTGCGGTGCGGTCGTCCGCCGCGGTCTCCGCGTCGGTGTCGGCGCCGACCGATGAGAGCGGGTAGACACTCGGCTTCCCTGTCGCGTCGGTGGACCTATGTGAAACTCGGTAAGCCCTATGAATTGCGTCAGGTCTCGCTGACGTCGCGATCGCAGACCGGTCGTCGTTGCCAGTTGCGTGAGGTATATATAGAGTTCCGCCTTGCTTCGTTATCCTTTTTAACCGTGCGGTGTGTTGATTGGTTTTCTTAATAGAGTTAAGATGCGTAATGTTTCGTGTACCTACCAAGTTTTTTTTTCTTTTGAGTGGTCTAAGGTAAAAAGCTGCAGTACAGCGGCAGGTTTTGGTCCAGTAGCGAGCGGTTCGGGTTGCAGGTCTTTGCTAGCGGCTGTTAAGTGAGAGGGACAGCTGACTACGAGTATATGTAGAATACCGCAGCTCGGTCGTACTGACTCCGTCAATATCGTGTATTAGGCAACGTGCGTGTTCCGGTCGCACATAGCAGCACCCCGTCGGCTGACCGGCCGCTCGCCGCCCGGGGGTACACTCCGACAGGCTCGGTGTATGGGTGCGCCTGTTCAGTTCGGGGCGCCAGATGAGGGGTTTTTGGTTGGGGTGGGAAGTGTTTACTTGTTTTACTGTGAACTGGATTCAGAGTGTCAGGACGGGATAATTTTCATCAGAAAAGCTAATGCCTATAAGCCACGGAGGCGCATATTGACCGAAAACATGAAGTGTTCAATCAGATGCTGCAATGATCTATATAGAACTTCAGTTGCATCGGCTACTGTGCCGTTGCGGAGATGTTGCGAACTTGATAGGATTGAGCATGGGATACCTTATGCCGTTGAAGGTCAGCTTAAGATTCATTTTTTGGAAGTTCATAGTTCACCTGTGTAATGGAAGAAGATAGACAAAGCCTTCTTAATTTGTCCATTGTTACATTTAATGTTCGCGGTCTTCGGGACCGCATAAAGAGAAGATCAATTTTCCGGCATCTCAGAATTGCATATTCGAAAAACATCATTGTGTTACAGGAGACGCATTCAAGACCAAGTATGGAATTTGGATGGAAAACTGAATGGAAGGGCAAAATGATATTTTCTCACGGTTCTGAATCGGGCCAGGCCGGTGTTGCCATATTGTTTCCTCCCGGATTCGCATTTAACGTTAATGCGAGTCAGATAGACGATAAAGGTCGATTCGCGGTCGCCGAAATCGTGTTACGGGATTGTAATGTGCCAATCATTGGTGTCTATGGACCAGCCAATGACAACCAAGACCATAAATGTAAATTTCTTGACACGGTCAGAGAGCTGCTACTGTGCTATAACAGCCACAAGGTACTTTTGGCAGGTGACTTTAATATAAAGCTTGATCCACTGGATACGGATAGTACAGCGTTCAAAAAATCACGAGCCTCTACAAAGCTGCGCGACATAATAGATGAGTTTTCACTTCAGGATTGCTGGCGAGCTCAGCATCCAGCAAGCAGACAGTATACATGGCGACGAGTGACACCGCTACAGCAGTCACGCATCGATTACATATTCGTTGGCTCTAGCTTAGTACAGTATAACTCGGTTAAGGCCAAGATTGAAGCGGGGCTGCTTAGTGACCATAATTTCGTCGTGTTCAGCATTGATATGTCAGTCGAGCCACGTGGACCCGGAATATGGAGATTTAATAACAACCTATTGAAAGATGACATTTATGTTAGATCAGTAAAAGATGAGATAAGAAAAGCCGTTAATAAGATAGGAGAATATGATGACGATATGCATAAGGGTATTTTAGTGGAAATGATGCTTAGTAGAATCAGAGTAATTTCAATTAAGCGTAGCAGAACATTAGCTCGCGAGATAAGAAAGGAAGAGAACGCAATTTATAACAAATTATGTGACTTAGATGCCAAATTGGCGCAGGCACCATGTGAGCAGGTGAGAAGTGAATATGTAAGTACACGCAGCCGATTGGAAGAGATTAAACAAGAAAGGGGAAAATCGGCTATTATTGCTTCACGAGCAAAGTGGATAGAAGAGGGCGAAAAGTCAACAAAGTACTTTACTCGAATGGTGGAACAACGAGCCGCGCAAAAGAATATCACCGCGATTAAGGAGATAGACGGTAGCACAGTTAGGGGCAATAAAGCAATCTTAAATGCATGCGCCGATTATTACAGAAATCTTTACGAGTCAAAATCATTAGGACGCGATAAGTATAGTTATTTTGTACCTGATAACAACGCAGAACGGCTGTCTGAGGTAGAAAAGCTAGCATGTGAGGGACCGATCACAAAAGAAGAAGGAAGAGTTGCCCTATCAAAAATGGCATTGAATAAAGCCTCAGGAATATCGGGGTTTTCTGCAGAATTTTTCGCCCTGTTCTGGGATGATCTAGGTGAGCTTTTGACTGATTATGTAAATGAGGCGCGAAGCCAGGGAATGTTTTTTATAGCCCATCGTAGAGGTGTTTTAACGTTAATCCCCAAAAAAGGTGACCAAAGAATGTTGGAAAACAAAAGGCCAATCTGCTTACTTGATGTTATTTATAAACTGGTGGCAAAAGTGATTGCGTTAAGAATTGAAAAAGTGATAGATAAACTGATCAATAAAAGTCAAACTGGCTTCCTAAAAGGCAGATATATCGGTGAAAATCTAAGGCTGGTGTCAGATGTTATAGAATATTGCAAAATAGACGACGTAGAAGGAATTCTACTTGCATTAGATTACAAAAATGCTTTCGATTCGATCGAACACGATTTTTTGCAATTCACACTCGAAAGCTTTAACTTTGGACCAAACTTGCGATCTTGGATTACGCTGCTGTACACGGGTGCTCAGCTCACAGTTTCCAATAATGGATATACTTCTGACTGGTTCCCGTGTACCAGAGGGACGTTTCAAGGCTCGCCTCTCAGCGGGTTGTTGTTCATCCTCTCGGTGGAGTTGTTAGCGATTAAGATACGGTCCATGCAGAATATTCAGGGCATTGTGATCAGTGGTCAAGAAGTTAAACTCAGTCAATATGCTGACGACAGTACTTTGTTTCTCCGCAACAAAGATTCTGTCGAGCAGGCCTTAGACGTCATAAAAGTATTCCAACAGGCATCTGGACTTGAACTTAACATCCACAAAACAAAGCTCATGTGGCTCGGTAAACGGTCGAACGCTTTCGAATCCATTCATGCCATTGAAGCTGTGCCAAAAATCAAAATTCTGGGAGTTTGGTTCTGTGCGTCAGGCCCGTGTGGCGCTGACAACATTGCACCAATCACCATTAAAGTAAAGCGTATATTAAATTCATGGTCGCAACGTAGTTTGACGATTAAAGGTCGAATCGTGGTGTCAAAAACCCTGCTAGCTTCCCAGATCGTCTTCTTGTCGATGTGTGCCACTATTCAAAAGGCAGATTTGGACGAACTTCAGAGACTGCTCATGAATTTTCTTTGGAGAGGCAGACCCCCGAAAGTGGCCAAAGCTACATTAGTGCAAACGATTAGAAATGGTGGTCTAAACGCTGTAGATATTTTTTGTTTCTACACAGCTTTACAATTATCCTGGATTAAAAGAATGGCGTTCTGTTCCGAATCCCCATGGCGGATTATTTTACAACGCCGTTTAGGGGAATTCAATATAACTGACCTTCTTAAGAGCAACAACGCCAAATCATATTTAAGAGAACTGAAAGTTCCTCAATTCTATAAAGACATAATATCAATATTCCATAACATAAATACGTCACCAGTAAACAATGCCGTTCAAGCCCGACTGCAAAATCTCTGGCACAACGATAAAATTAAGGTGAACAACAGACACACATTCAACAAAGCCCTGTACGGTTGTGGAATACGATACGTTGACGACTTAGTTGGCGATAACGGCGAGTTTTTGAACTACGCGCAGATTCTAAGAAAGTTCCCACGATTAAATGTAGACTTTCTCACCATTAACTCTTTGAGAAGGTCAATCCCAAAGGAATGGAAAGACATGATTAAAGGTAACCCACTTAGTGTGGCCACGTCGGAGGACAAAGAAAACATTTTCTTTCTAGGTAGTAATTCGTCTAAAGTCATGTTGGAACACTGCAGAAGTCATCACTATTATAAGAGACTGATCGACAAACATCAACCTAGAGCGGAAATTAAATGGACGGAAGAAGGTGCACGCGTTGCTAACTGGAGTAAAATTTACATGATCCCATATAATTGTACAAAATCTACTAGATTACAGTCACTTCATTATAGGATTATTCATCGGTACATTCCCACCAGGAAATTCCTATGTACGAGGGGGATAGCTGGTAGCCCACTCTGTTTGAAATGTTTCGCCGTGGACACATTACAACACTTTTTCTGCGACTGCGAAGACGTTGAAAACCTTTGGGTGATAATCGTTGGTGCTTTAAAACGTTCCTTTAATCTTTCTGATCGTCAAACATCTAGCGAAAATATGTTACTTGGAATATGTGATGCGCCTCCTGTTGTTAACCTTATAATTCTCCTGTGTAAGAATTATATAATAAATTGCAAACTAGGGCAACATGTAGGTGATAATATAGATATTGAAACATTCAAACACATCCTCAAACAAGAATTCAAAGCAGAGATGTTGATCGAAAAGAAAAATAATGTCGTAGAAGATGTAATTAAGAAGTGGCATAAGGTATTTGATGCTGAGGGGAATTGTGTATTGTTCTGACACGCGTGAACTTATAACCCGGTCCCTTGTACCGGGCTGCACCGATTAGGCGCGATTGCGCGAAATGCGTAACGAGCGAGCATCGCCTCGTGCGATCCGTGGCCCCCGCCCTACCCCATCCGGGCTAACCCGTGCCCGGCCCCCTGCATATGCAGGGCAGGCCGGGCCGCCGGCCCGTCGCGCTAAGCCTGTGGCCCGCGCTTGGCGGGCCGGTGGTCAGGGGGCGCCGCCTCGCGTGGGTAGACGCACGTAGGTGCGAGGCGGCGCGGGCGGGGGCCAACAGCCCCGTCCCAGCCCAGTGCGGGACGGGCTGAGGCATACCCGGACGTACCTGTAATGTCATTGTCTATTATCTACATAGGTGTGTCTATTGCCAACTGCTTTTGTGTGTACTCAGTGTTAAGTTGTGGACTCATTCTAAGTGTCAATCTGTGTGTGCGACGTGTGTTGTGTCTTCTTTATGTGTAAATAAATTATTCTGCCAGAAAAAAAAAGCGCACAAAACGCACGCCCGAAACGCCAACGCAAACGTCGCAAAAACAATAAACAAACGCACGCCTGCCGCAAACCGCAAAACAAAACGCAAAAGCGCCACAAAAAATAAAACCGCCCGCATCGCACGCCCGCTAACCGCGAATCGAAAACCCCCTAAAAATCGCCTGCCCGCCGCAAAAAGCAAACGTCGCAA